AGTTTCATAATGTGTACAAGTTTATGAACATGATAATAAAAATTTTTAAATTTTTGAGTTGGAGGTCTTGCCAAACTGCCTGGGCTGTTCTTGAACCCATTAGCTCAGGAAATCTACTTGCCTTGGCCTCCCAAGGTGCTGGAATACAGGCTGAGACACTCAGCCTGGCCTCTCAAACCATTTTCTACAAATGAAGTAAATACAGTGCATGTGCTGATAAAAACAAAGAAACAAACAAACAATAGAACAACTTATGGAGCTAGCAATACTTACTAGATTTTGTTCCAGTGTTTTCTTCTTGATGGCCTTTTTTCTTACCCATGTTAGGGAGAGAAGACCCAGCCCTTCAGAGTGTTCAGAGTCTTGGGGTCAATGTCTATACACAGTAAGTCCTTAATTAGAAATGAGTTTTGATAAAAGAGTAACTAATATTATATGCAATGGAAGACACATCACATATTAAGTCAGTGATGAATAATGTCCTAAAAACTAGATGATTCTTTCATTAGTCATTTAGGAAGCACAGAATTCTGGAATATTTAAATAAAATGGGTGGAACTACACTTTTATTCTTTCTAAATATTTTAAAATTCAACGTTGCCATTGATGTGGTGTCTGTAATTCAGTGTCCACCATAAGTTGATTCTCCCTCATTATGTCCCTTACTCTTTCACTTCCATTATATACAAAAGGTTGACTTTTTCTTCTCAAATTATGCTTCTCAGAAGCTGTTCTTGGTAATCAAATATCTCAGGTATTTTATCTGGAAAATATTTCTCTTTTTTCCTATTCTTTAAATATATCCAATTCTACCTTTAATAATAACTTTAAACCAGCATTGTTAATACTAGTTTCTCTATTTTCAAGAAAATACAAGTTTTGGAAATACCCACAGTGACTTTAGTGAAGTTTTATTTTGTAATTTTGATTCATATTCATTTACATACTTCTACTTATAATTTATATACATAATTATTTTTTGTGTGACATCTCTCTACCACCCAGTGGAGTTCAGTGTTCAGTGGTGTGATTATGGCTCAGTCTATGGGTTCAGGCAATTCTTCCCCCAAGACTGCCGAGTAATTGGCGAGGACATGCACAACAGCACCCAACAGATTTTTTGTTATTTTTTGTCGATATGAATTTCCCAGGCTGCTCTCAATCTCCTGGGTTCAAGACATCCTCCCACCTCAGCCACCCAAACTATTGTGAATACAGTCCTGAGCCATCATGCCTTGCCCCTCACTGCTTTTTGTGGTATTATGCAGTTTGACAAATATTACTTACACTACTGTTTTATTTTTCTATTTTGGAAACTCTTTATTTCTAAATTTCGGAATTTATGTCTGGTTTTTACTTATTTTACAAACTTGTAAATCTTGGAAATGACCTTTTATTTTTAAACCTATTTTAATCAAACCACTACATAAATGTTTGAGAAACATATCATATTTTACATTCAAGTCACCATTTATATAGAACTGTAATTGTACTTTTATCACTCGGACTTCGACACTTTGAGTATATAAATTGTGTTCAAAATTTCCACCCAGTAATACTGTTATCAGCTCAACCTAGTTTTATGTGTATTGCATACATTTTATGTTACTGATTTCTAATATTCATAATTTCTTTGGTTTGGTTGTTTTCCAAATATTGCTAGTGAAGCTTATACTGTCTTGTTATTTCCACTTTAATTTTTCTCCCTGTACTTTTAGTCCATAAAGAACATGGGTTTAGCAGGGCTTGGTGGCTCAGCCTGTAATCCCGTGCTTTGGGAGGCTGAGATGTGTGGATTGCCTGAGCCCGCGGGTTTGAGACTCTCCTGGGCAACTTGGTGAGACCTCATCTCTACAATAAACCAAAAATCAGCTGGGCATGGTAGCATGCTCCTGTAGTTCCAGCTACTTGAAAGGCTGAGGTGGAAGGATCACCAGAATCCAGCAGGTCGAACCTGGCCACTGCACTCTAGTCAGGGTGACTCCAACTCAAAAAAATAAAAATAAAAGTACATGGGTTTGACATCCATAGGTCCATGTTTTTTCAACAAATACACTGGAATTTTTTTTTTTTTTTTACAATTTGTGGTCATTTAAAACTTGCAGCAAAACCATACTTTAGAAATATACTTTACCAATTTGTCATGAGCACATCAATCTGTCATAAGCATAACAGAAAGTATATTCTTATCTATTTTGATGTTTACTACCATAAAACATACACATATCTATCATACAAAGGTAAACTTATAATTTATACTCTTACGGGTTATGCATGGTACCATCAGCAGTTGGGAAATGTGTAAATAAATGTAAAGATGAAGTATTAACTCATAACTGCATAAAATTAGTTATGACAGTGTGTCAGTCAATAATTTTTTGACAACTTCCTGCTGCCAGGTGATTAATGCAACTGTAGTGAGATTCTGTTCCACATACCATGTGATGTCAATATTTTTATATGAGCACTTGGTCTCTCCAGAGTGAATCAAGGAAATTACAAAGAATCATTGTATTTATGGCAAAACAGTGGAAAGGGAAGGGTATCAAGACATAAATGTTGAAGATATTCCAGAGCCCAGAACCCACACCACAGGAGTTAGAGGCAGATGACTTGAGGGGACAAGTGCTTCCAACATAGTGCCAGATGACTAGAAAGGAAACAAGAGACTGGGCATGGTGACTCATGGCTATAATTCCAGCACTTTGGGAGGCAAAGTACAGCAGACTGCCTCAATCTAGGGCTTTCAGGCCAGCCTGAGCAACTTGGTGAGATCTTGTCTTAACAATGAATCCAGTAGTTGGCTGGGCATGAGGGCAGACGTTTGTGACACCAGCTACTCAGGAGTCTAAAGGAGAAAGATGGCCTGATACCATCACGTTGAGGCTGCAGTGATTGTGGATTTTCCACTGTGTTCCTGCCCGGGCATCAGAGTCAAAATCCAGGATTTAGAAAGTTAGGTCTTATATTCCTGTATAACCTTTATTACAATAATCAAAATGACACAGACCTAAAAAACAAAAAGGGAGAAAATATGACCTATAAAAAAGGATCACTAGAAACATCCTTCTGTAAGTTACTCAATAGTCCATGGACATCATATAACTACAATCTTGAGTAAGATAGAATAGATTATCACTTATGGCAACATAATAATTTATTGTGTGGACAACAAATGTTAATACTTTATAAACAATTCTATTCATTAAAACAAACAAATTTACATAGCCTAAATAAACCTTCAAATTTCACTGTATGCAAAACCAGATTACCAGACTCTTCTGATAGTGTGATCCATGTGCAAACAGCTTTCTTCAGTTTTAAAAGGTGAATCTGATTATTTACTAAACATAAACTTATAATATATACACTTTAAGGGAGTAATTCTTTGCTCTGATGTCTATGAAAATATTTCTTTATATCAAATTACACTTATGACTTGTAAGTATTGATAGTATGAAGATGCATTAAGATATTAATGCTCTGCCTCATTTTCTCATTTGCATGTAAATAGTAAGACAAATGATTTCTAAAATTCTCAATGATTCTTTGTCATCTATTTCCAAAGATAAATGTTATCCTGAGCACTCATCTCATTCTGAACTTACAATAATGCTTACTGTGAGCTACAAAAAACTTCTTCACTTCGATCTTCTTTTTTTTTTTGAGTTGGAGTCTCACTCTGTTGCCCAGACTGGAGTGCAGTGGCCGCTCCCGGCCACCGCAGCCTCGACTTTCTGGGCTCCGGCGATCCTTCCGCCTCAGCCTTCCGAGTAGCCGGAATTATAGGCATGTGCTACCACGCCCGGCTAATTTTTTGATTTTATTGTAGAGATGAGGTCTCGCCTGCCCAGGCGGGTCTCGAACCTGCAGGCTCAGGCAATCCACTCACCTCAGCCTCCCAAAGGCGCGGGATTATAGGCTGAGCCACCGAGCCCGGCTTACTTCGATCTTTTAAAGGAGATTACATATCAGTGTTCTTCCTCCTCCATGAATAACATGAGATGAGTGCTGATGACCTACTATGCAAGGACATTTCATAGCTCTAAAGTACCAACGGCTGACCCCATGCCTTTACATAAACACTATCAATGAAGGCATAGCATCATGTGAGTTGAGTTACATCAATATTATTTGCTTTTTGAAATATCCTCATATTCTGTCAATGCAAAACCAAAATTACAGAAAATATGCTTATGCTTTCCTAAAAAACCCATTTTCTAATGCCACTCGATATTTGATATTTATTTCAACTTGACCTTTCAGTAAATAAGCTTCCATATAAATTGAATCTGTAAAGTTTTCTGTCTGAATACCCTAGTATTTCCAATGGCATATATTTTGAACAAAGGCCAGTCCACATTCTTTAAATTTGTAGATTCTCTACAATGCACAGCCTAATGTCAAATAAAGTTTTTGCTAGTTAATGTCTTTAGACATGTTTTACATTTGTACAGTCAAAAGATCTGTGGTTTGAGTAAAGGTACTCTTTACATCTGTAAATTTCTCACCATGTCTCTATTGTTTATAACTAGATGTATGATTTTCCAGTCATTAGAGATACTGCAAATTTAGAGTATAAACTGCCTGATGTTGAGAAAACTTGGAATAACAGTGAAAAGGTTTACCGCATTCTGCTCATCTATAGGGAATCCCTAAATATAGATGCTCACATGTCAACCAAATATTGAATGAGAGGTAAAGGCTTTATCTCATACTTCTCATTTATATAGCTTCATCTCAGTATGGATTTTCATATGTCCAACTACTTGTATAGAAGAGCAAAGGGCTCACCATGTTTTTTACATTTGTAGAGTTTCTCTCCAGTATGGATGATTATGTGTCCAACCAATCCATTGAGAGTGAATGGCTATGTCACATTCTTCACATTTGTAGAGTTTTTCTCCAGTATCAACGTACTTACGTTCAGTAAATACTTTATGAGAGCAAAAGACTTTGCCATATTCTTCATGTTTGTAGTTTCTCTCCAGTATGACACCTCATATGTATAGCAAATCATTTGAGAATAAAAAGGTTTTGCCACATTCACCATGTTTGTAGGATTTCTCTCCACTATGGATGGTCTTGTGTCCAGCAAATTCTTTATGAGTGTGAAAAGTTTTGCCATACTTTTCACATTTGTAAGGTCTCTCAGTAGTATGGATCTTGACATGCCAAGCAAGTAGTGAATGAGAGTGAAAAGCTTTTCTGCGTATTTCGCATTTGTAGGGTTTCTTTCTAGCATGGATGGTCATGTGTCCAGCAAATTCATTGTGAGAGTGAAAGCTTTTGCCATATTCTTTACACTTGTAGGATTTCTCCCGAGTATGGATGGTCTTATGTCCAACAAATCCTTAATAGAGTAAAAGCATTTCCACACTCTTCACATTTGTATGGTTTCTCTCCAGTATCGATGGTCTTATGTTCAGGAAATCCTCCATGTGTACAAAAAGCTGTGCCACACTTTTCACATTTGTAGGGTTTCTCAACAGTATGAATCTTGCCATGTTGAGCAATTAGTGAGTAAGAGTGAAAAGCCTTTGAATATATTTCACATTTGTAGGGTTTCTCTCCAGTACGGATCATCTTATGTCCAGAAACTCCATTGTGAGAGCAAAGGGCATTTTCACATTCTTCACTTATGGTTTCTCCCCAGTATGCACCTTGATATGTCCAGCATGCTTTGAATGGTGGCAAAAGGCTTGGCCACATTCTTCACATTTGTAGGATTTCTCCCCACTATACATGGTCTTATGTCTAGCAAACACTACATGAGATTAAAAAGCCTTGCCACATCTTCACATTTGTAGGATTTCTCCCCAGTATACATGGTCTGTCAAGAAAATCCAGAGTGAAAGTGAAAGACCTTGCCACATTCCTCATATTTATAGGTTTTCTCTCCATTATGGATATGCTGATGTACAATAAGACTCAAGTTCTGAGTAAAGTCTCTGCCACATTCTGCACTTTTGTAGGGCTTCTCTCCAGTATGGATCACTGTATGTCAAGCAAGAAGTGAACGACATTATAAGCTTTGCCACATTCTGCACATTTGTAGGGTTTCTTTCCAGTATGGACGGTCAAACTTACAGCAAATTGCCCTTGAGAGTGAAAGGCTTTGCTACATACTTCACATTTGTAGGGTTCCTCTCCAGTATGGATCACCATATGTTGAGTAAGGCATCATCAAGTTTGAAAGACTTTGCCACATTCTTCACTTTTGTATGGTTTCTCTTCAGTATGGATCATTGTATGTCAAGAAAGTTGTGAATGAAACAAAGGTTTTGGCACATTCTTCACATTTGTAGTATTTCACTCCAGTATGGATCACTATATGGTCAGTAAGATATGAACAAGAGTGAAAGGCTTTTGCCACATTCTTCACATTTGTACCGTTTCACTCCAGTATGGATCACTGTATGTTGAGTAAGATGTAAACAAGAATAAAATGCTTTGCCACATTCTTCACATTTATAGGGTTTCTCTCCAGTATGAATGGTCTTATGTCCAGCAAATTCTCCTTGAGAGCGAAAGGATTTGCCACATTCTTCACATTTGTGGGGTTTCTCTCCAGTACGGATCATCGTATCTCGAGTAAGGATTGAATGAATGTGAAATGCTTTGCCACATTCTTCACATTTGTAGACTTTCTTTCCAGCATGGATCATAGTATGTAGAGTAAGGAGTGAGCAAACCTGAAAGACTTTGTCACATTCTTCACAGTTCTAGGGTTGCTTTCCAGTATGGATCACCTTATGTCGAGTAAGGTTTGAACGAGTGCGAAAGACTTTGCCACATTCTTCACATTTGTAGGGTTTCTCTCCAGTATGTGTCACCTTATGTCGAGTAAGGTGTGAATGAGTGTGAAAAGCTTTGCCACATTCTTCACATTTGTAGCGTTTCACTCCAGTATGGATCATTGTATGTTGATTAAGAATTGAGCGAGTGTTAAAGGCTTTGCCACATTCTTCACATTTGTAGGGTTTCTCTCCAGTATGGATCACCTTATGTTGAGTAAGGAGTGAACGAGAGTGAAAGGCTTTGCCACATTCTTCACATTTGTAGGGTTTCTCTCCAGTATGGATCATCATATGTCGAGTAAGAATTGAGCGAGTGTGAAAGGCTTTGCCACATTCTGCACATTTATAGGGTTTCTCTCCAGTGTGAATGGTCTTATGTCCAGCAAATTCTCCTTGAGAGCGAAAGGATTTGCCACATTCTTCGCATTTGTAGGGTTTCTCTCCAGTATGGATCTTCTTATGTCGAGTAAGGATTGAACGAATGTGAAAGGCTTTGCCACATTCTTCACATTTGTAGGGTTTCTCTCCAGTATGGATCATTGTATGTTCAGTAAGATAGAAATGAGAGTGAAAGGCTTTGCCACATTCTTCACACTTGTAGGGTTTCTCTCCAGTATGGATCATCATATGTTGAGTAAGGAGTGAACGGATGCGAAAGGCTTTGCCACATTCTTCACATTTGTAGGGTTTCTCTCCAGTATGGATCATTGTATGTTGAGTAAGGATAGAACGAAAGTGAAAGGCTTTGCCACATTCTCCACATTTGTAGGGTTTATCTCCAGTATGGATCATCGTATGTCGAGTAAGTTGTGAATGAGAGTGAAAGGTTTTGCCACATTGTTCACATTTGTAGGGTTTCTTTCCAGAATGGATCACTCTATGTCGAGTAAGGAGTGAATGAATGTGAAAGGCTTTGCCACATTCTTCACATTTGTAGGGTTTCTCTCCAGTATGGATCATCGTATGTTGAGTAAGTTGTGAACGAGAGTGAAAGGCTTTGCCACATTCTCCACATTTGTAGGGTTTCTCTCCAGTATGGATCATCGTATGTCGAGTAAGTTGTGAACGAGAGTGAAAGGCTTTGCCACATTCTTCACATTTGTAGGGTTTCTTTCCAGAATGGATCACTGTATGTCGAGTAAGGAGTGAATGAATGTGAAAGGCTTTGCCACATTCTTCACATCTGTAGGATTTCTCTCCAGTATGGATCACTGTATGTTGAGCAAGATGTGAATGAGGGCGAAAAGTTTTACCACATTCTTCACATTTTTTTATTTACTTATTTTTTATTTATTCTATTTATTTTACTTTTTGAGTTGGAGTCTCACCCCGTCACCCAGATGGAGTGCAGTGGTCACTCCTGGTCACCACAACCTCGACCTGCTGGGCTCCTTCAATCCTTCCACCTCAGCCTTCCAAGTAGCTGGGACTACAGGCGTGCGCTATCATGCCTGGTTAATTTTTTGGTTTATTGTAGAGATGAGGTCTCGCCAAGTTGCCCAGGCATGTCTCGAACCCATGGCCTCAGGCAATCCACTCACCTCAGCCTCCAAAAGCACTGGAATTACAGCCTGAGCCACTGAGTCCGGCTCATCCTTCACATTTATAGAGGTTCTCTCCACAATGAATTTTCTGATGTTGTGAATGACATGAGTAATAGCTAAGGGCTTTGCTACATTTTTCATTTCTGAAGCCTCTCTCTCCCCTATGGATTCTTTCAAGTCTATTTAGATAGGATTATTTCTTAAAGACTTTCCCACATATATTGTATATTTCCTCCACTATTTTTTTTGATGTTGACTACATTTTGAGGACTGGTTAAAGGTTTTCCCATATTCGTGTTTGAAACCCATTTCAGAAATATGGATACTGGTGGATTTGGAGTGTTGATGAAAGACTTTTCTACTCTTGTTACATTTGTATTAGTTATTTGCAACTGAGCATTCTATCTGCCCTTCACCCTCATGCATACTTACCCAACATTTTTGTAAGTATAAGTTCTTAAGGACATATTTACCATATTTTCCCTTTGACACCTTTTCAAGGGAGTCTTCTATGCACTTCTCTGGCAAAAGGCCTTCAGTGTAATGAGAAGTCACAGCTGAAAATCAGGAAAATAAAAATTTATTCCACATGCTAGACTTAGGTAAATATCCTTTGAAAATAAAACATCATATTATACCATGGTAATGACATAAGTATGATGGCAAGTACTAATCACAGGTTTGCACTCCATCATAAATATATGTACTTAAGAAAATACCACATTGCCTGTGTGAGAACTCAAAAAACAGCTTAGACTTTGCAAAATCCACAATGATAAAATGAGTTACACGGAAGAGAAAGTTGAGTAATTTTGCCACCATAATTTCTCTTCCTTTACAATGTAGCATGATGCAATCAGATGGGATGTTCTAACTCTTGAATTCTTCCTCAGGGAATAAACAGAAGTATGGAGAGTGAGTCCACATTTCTGTCCTTTGAGGGTTTAGGAAAAGACTGGTTTCTGTCCCAACATACAGAGAAGACACATCCTAAGAAGAGTTATGAGTCTCCAGACTCCTAGAATCTCTAACTTAGTGATTGATGTTATATTAATCTAGACAAAGCAGCATCATAAACATTATGATGTGAATATCCTTAAATTTCAAATACCCCAATTCACACAAAGTATGTCAAAGCATAGAAAGAATCAGGAAAAATAACTCAATTAAGGGTACAACAATAATTTGTGGAACTACAAATTACAATATTTTGAGAAATTTTCATATGAAATGCAGAAAGCCTTACTTGAGCCACACTACTGCCTGGGTGACAGAGAACATGCTGATAAAATGTAACCATAAAAAAGGATTTGTAAAACATCCTTGATATTGATATTGGTCTCAGTAATAACTTTTTTTATGACTACAGGTATAAAAATAAATACAAACAAGTTGGAGACATCAAACTGAAAAGCTTCTGCAGAGTAAAAGGAAATGGAAGAAGACTTACAGAACAAGAAAAAACATCTGCAAACCATATACTTGATGAGTTGCCGAAGAAAGAAAAAGATAATCACTTGAATAAAAAACAGCCCAAAAATGAATATCTATTTTCCCATGAGGACATACAAATTGCCAATAGGTATATGAATTGTCACTGAACATCACTAGTAGAGGCAATTTCAAATAAACACAATGATGATATATTGTCTCACAGCTGTTAGAATGGCTAATATCCACCAGAAGAGAGAGAGAAAACGTTTAGTAAAGGATGTGAAGAAAAAGAAATTCTGTATACTTTTGGTGAACTTAAAATTGGTAGAGTCATATAAAAGACATTATCAGCATTCTTTCAAAAATAAAAACAAACTGTCACATAACACAGATATCCCTTCCTGGGTATATAACCAAAGGAAATAAAATCAGTAACAAAAAGAATTCTCCAACCCCTAAAGGAATTGCAGCATTTGTCAAGATGGCCAAGCTTGAAAACAACCTAAATATTTGTGGAATCTATGTTGATTAAGAAAATAATGTATACATACACACACACACACATACACACCACACACACACACATGTATATATGCACAATAGCATACGATTCAGCCAAAATATTTTTTAAAGAATTCTGCAATTTTAACCCTATGGATGACATTGTAAGACATGCTAACTGAAGTGAGCCAGGCACACAAACACACACAAATACTGCATGAGAACGGTTACAGTGACTCAAGTCTGTAAACCCTTCACATTGGGAAATTGAGGTGAGAGGATTGCCTGAGCTCAGGTGTTCAAGACTAGTCTGAGCACCAAGGTGAAACAAATACAAAAATAAGCTTGGCATGGCAGTGCATACTTGCAATTCTAGTTACTTGAAAGGCTGATATGGAAGTATTGCCTGAGCCTAGCAATGAGGATGTGGTAGTCATTAGCATGCCACTGCATTCCAGCCTGGATTGAGACTCCAACTCAGGAAAAAAAAATCCTGCATGATCTCACTCCTGTGGAATCAAAAGATTTTGCACTCATAGAGGAAGAAAGTACAACACGGTCACCAGGGCCTGCAGGTGGGAAAATGGAAATGTTTTCCAATGGTTACAAAATTTGAGTTATAACTGAGTCTTAGGGAACTATTGTGTACCATAGTGACATATCGTTAGTAATGACGTCTCATATGGTTAGAAAATTTGCTAAAATAAAAGACATTATGTGCTCTCCTTACAAAACATAAAAATGACAACTACATAAGATGGTTGATATGTTCATTAATATAATTGTAATCATTTCACACTGTATAGGCATATAAAATTATTACATTATTCATAACATATGGTGATATATTTTTATTTATGTATAAAAATCAGATGCTAATCACACATAAATATGCATACATATGTGTTTGAATATATGCATATATGAAGCTAGTCTTAAGCTTCATACTAAAGAAAATGAAAACATAAGAGTTATTAAGACACAAGGTAGGAGGTAGGAATTTAATATGTTTACCAACCTTCTACATAACATAATACACTTAAATATTTGAATATAAAGAAAAACTACCAGTTTCAGATCATAATATAAAAGTAAAATTTAAGTAAAATATCAGGATTTCTTCTATTAAGAGAGAAAATTTATATTTAGGTAGGACTACTGAGTATGAATTTAAATAAATTCATTGGAAATCTCCCTAGTAGAGAAAATTATAAATTAGAAAACATGTAACATGTGTCCGGAGTGTTCTTAAAATTTCTCAAACAGATAACAAAATCACTGCTCACATACTTCCATGATGCCAAAAGAAAACATAAAAAATAACTTGACATAGATTGCCAAATAAATAAGCAAATACTTGCACGTCTCCAAAGCATCAGAAAGGTAGTAAGATCATGCAGTTCCTAACAAACCATTAAGTGGATTTGACTTCTTCTGTAAACTTGAAAGATTATTGATGAAGCAGTTTTTGGAGAATTTCAGAACATGTAATAATAGATGTCCCTTTGTGACAGGCAGAGAAAGAATCCCAGGCTTCTAAGAAACCATTTCCACTGGAGCAGACCACCTTCCCAAACCACATTTCAAGCTCTGAGTCCTCAACCTATTTCATCTGCTTCATTCACTCCCTCTTACCTGGAAATTTTGCTAATGTGCCATGTCTCTTCACATCCCAGGGCTCTTTCCTTTGCTCCAGACATATAATAAGGTCTGGCTTAGAGATAGCAAGTCCTGTTTAATTAAAAAAAAAATAACATGGCTCTTGCTGGGGCTCTTAGATTACAAACCTAGTATTTGATCAGTAGAGAATACATTATACAAGATTCTAGAGAATTAATCCCAAAATACGGTTTCCCAACAAAACCTTTAGAATATTTAGATAAAAATTTAAATTTATGGGTTTCTTTTTATTCTAAGTTGTAGTCTCACTCTGTCACCCAGGCTAGAGTGTGGTGTAAAGCTTGTAGCCACCCCAGTGCTCACCTGTTGGGCTCAGATAATTCTCCCTCAGCCTATCAAGTAACCAGAACTACAGGTGTGTGTTACCACTCCCAAGTAATTTTTTGATTTAGTGTAGAGACGGGGTCTTGCCAAGTTGTCCAGGCTATTCTTGAACCCATGGGCTCTGGCAGTCCTCTCAACTCAGCCTCCTAATGTGCTGGCATTACATGGCTGAGCCACCATGCCGGGCCTTAAATTTGTGAATTCTTAGTTCAGTACTGGTGAGTCAATAACTTATGGCAGCAATGGGAATGAGATGTGGGCAATGATATCTATGCCACTAGATTTCTGAACTTACCAATAATATAGCTAGAAGGACACTAGTCAATTTAAAATAGAGAAGGCTTCATGTCAAAATTTTTTTTTCTATGTTAACATATTACCAACTTTTTGTTAATAGTAGGAATCTGAAACTCATTTATGCAAAGCAGAAATTCCCAGAAAGCCTTCTACAAAGGAAGGACATAAAATCCTTAGTATGAAATAGGGATTGTGTTTTGAAAGTTTACTCACCTAGAAAAACCAGGTTTCTATGGTTCTCCAACATCACAGTTCTGTACAATATTCGCTGAGGGGAGTTTAGGCATGCCCACTCCTCTGCAGAGAATTCTATGGCCACATCCTTGAATGACAACAACCCCTGAAAACAACAAAAACACATATTTACCAAGTCACCATGGCCTCTAGGTAAAGCAAGAGTGAAAACAGGGTCCAGCTGATAAGACAACTATTATTATGCAATAAAAAAATTCATAACACAGAAATATCCTCTAATGCATTAAGTGTGAGAAAAAAGGATGAAATAAAGTCCTCAGCCCATGTAGACTCTCGATTTTTGTGAGTGAAACAGCATAAAATGTACACCAACACAGGCACATACATTTAAAATTACTGTTTATATCACACAGAATACATTACATACACTGCTCCTAGTAAGTCAGAAGATCCTCCTCAAGTTTTAATTTGTACAACAATGAATTGATTACCTTGTTAAAATGCAAATTCTGATTCAGAATACATGGATTTAGCCTGAGGTTTGCGCTTTTCTGTTCAGTTGGTGTGTCTCATTCATTTTTTTTTTTTTTTTGAGTTGGAATCTCACACTGTCACCCACACTGAAATGAAGTGGCCACTTCTGGCCATGGCAGCCTCGACCTGCTGGGCTCCGGCGATCCTTCCGCCTCAGCCATTCAAGTAGCTGGAACTACAGACATGTGCTACTAGGCCCGGCTAGGTGTGTCTCATTCTGAACCAGGTTAGGGTGCCCTGGCATAATCACAACTTATTGCAGTCTCAATCTCCTTGGCTAAAAGAATTCATACTCCATAGCATCACAAGTATTTGGGGCCAATTAGTATCAGATGTCAAGGCACTCAGGTGGAACACAACATTCATGCTGAGATCTTTTAGCCAAAAGTTATAGTAATTTATTATTACTTTTTGAGTTGAAGTCTCACTCTTCTTGCCTAGGCTGGAGTGCAGTGGTATGCTCATGGCCACTGTAGCCTCGACCTGCGGGATTTAGGTAATCCTTCTGCCTCACCTTCCAAGTATCTAGAACTACAGAGACATGCAATCATGCCTGGGTACTTTTTGTAATTTACTGTTGAGACAAGGTCTCACCAAATGCCCAAACTGTTCTCAAAACACAGGCTCAGGCAAGTCTGTTGCCTCAACCTCCCAAAGTGCTGGGATTACAGACTGAGGACCACACCCATCCAATATACTAATTTATAATCTCAATTTAATAACAAGTAAGCTCATGTTACACAGAAATCAGCCTACAGGTAACTCCCATGGCATGTATATCTGAAAGTGTATTTATATTTTTAGTTTGTGGCATCCTAGAGAGCAAGTCTCTACTAATTATTCTTTATTCAGAGTTACCGGAGTTATTTTGGGCAGTAACTGCCATCCTGTTTAAATGTACATTTTATTAACTGTGTTCTGCATGGATCAGATGGAACACATAGACAGAATCTTAAGAGTACATTTTCTGGGTAGGAACAGAGGCTCATTCCTATAATCCCAGCACGTTGGGAGTCTGTGGCAAAAACATGTCCTGAACCCTTGGGTGTGAGACCAGCCCGGGCAACTTGGCAAGACCTCATCTCTACAATAAATTAAAAAATTAACTGGGCTGTGGTGGCCATGAGTGTGCCAGTGCATTTCATGCTGCAAAACAGAGGAAGACTACATACACATGTTTCTATCCTCCATTAAGATCTGAGAATCTATCCAATTTCCAATGGGATTCTTGGTTAACATGCCTTCCCATGTCCCCCAGTAACAAGGGAACATTTTAAAAAATGCAGGTCATACATTAATGATGAGAACAGTTTATGACAACTAAGCAGTATGGTTGAAGAGAACAGAAGAGGCTATGTAGGAGCAGTGTCTGATAGACCCATTGAATATCACAGGAAGAACAAAAATAGTTGAAACAAACTCATTAGGCAGGACCATCACACGGACAGCAGCATGGTTTGCAAGTTTTACACACATGACATTCTTTGTGATCTAGGACACATTTATTTACCTGAGAAGCAGTCATTTTTTCTTTTTCCTCCTACTTCTGTGGTATTTCTTCTCAGGTGAGATTATGTAATCAAGTTACACCTACATTTTGAAAATATGCCTTTACTTATTTCAAAATAAATGGAATGTATTTATTTTTTGTCAGTATTACCACCTTCTTGGGAGCCCCTCGCTTGCTCTCCTGTTTGCCTGCTTGCTCTCCTAATTTTATTCTTCCACCATCTCCCTGAGGTGGGTCTACTTTGTCATTTAGGACAGTTTTCCTTCTTTACAAATTCAAGATAATCCAGAGGACAGACATCAATTCTGTCTTTGCCCCTCAAGAACAGTGATGTGTCTACAACAACAGTGATGTGTCTACAAGTGCACAGAAACCAGTCACCGAACTAAAATTAATTTTTTGTTACTAATTTAATAATATAAAACTTAGACCTAATCAATCCAAAATGGGACAGCCAACTTTCAAAAGTTCGACATAACTCCATTTTAGACTGGGGTTGGGGGGGCGAATCTCTGGCCTCTTTGTGTGTTTGAATGTAGCTAAAATAATTTTGAAATGCTGACAAGGTTGGCACCAGTATGCAGCTGTCCAGACTAACTCTGCAAAAGTGGGAGTATGTACACTAACTCTGTTTTGTTTAATAAAGGAACAAGGAGACTGTGAACCAAGGACAAAGATAATTCACCACTTTCCAAGACTCCTCTCATCACCCAGATGTCTGCAAGTCTAAGCCACCTCTCGATCTTAGCCGCTCTCTGTCCCACAGCCTGTATAAAAATTTTGAAAAAGCACACATGACCCAGCAGGGGTCTTTAGGATGCCGTCCCCTCATTTTCTTAGTTTTAGTGTTCCTACTAAATAAAGTCACAACTCCTGCTCCAACTCCTCATGTCGACAGAAGCGGATTAGGACCTGGTGACACAAATGCCCAATGACACTAATGACAAACCCTGGAGATTTCCACCTAGATAATTCAGATAAGACCACTGCAGGACTGTCCTTCAACAGCACTTGTCCATCCGGCTTCCCCTTGCCCCTTCCCAAAGCCTTTCCTCCCAGGTCCTCCAGGATCCTCACACCACAAGTCCTAGCTGGAGTTTCTGGACTCAAGAATCGCTGTTGGCCAAGAGGCCTTAATTTTGATGGAGCCACCGTTTAAATCTGGGGAGGAGAGAGGGAGTGGGCCAGGATCATAGCCTCCCTCTCCCCCCACCAGCCCCACACACAAGTCGTATTCTCTCCACAACCCTCGTGGGTTCGGCACAGTTGGAGATGGTGAGCTGCACATAGAGTGCTCAGCAGGCGACGTCGCTGCAGGGTCAAGACCAAGGGTCACGGCCGAGGCCCACCTACACTGACGCGACAGGGCCGAGTTGCTGGTGGGGATGGGTCCAGGCTCGGAGATGATGGAGAGGACAGTCCCTAAAGAGCTGGGTCATCCAAGTCCATCCCTACTCCCCCTCTCGGGACACCTCCCTGCACACTCACCACCACCCGCCTTCTAAGGGTCCCAGCGTCCGTCCTACAAATCTCCCAGGACATGCATGTAACAAGGAAACAGGCTACAATGAAGATATGCGAGGTTGATAAAGGAAGCTAAGGCCTTGTAAGAGCCCGGAAGTTGCCCTCTCACTTCCAGCTCCTGTCTGATTGGCCATTTCAAACCCCAGCATCAGTTGATTGGATAAAACTCCAGGCCATCAGGTCTTGAGTCACAGGACATGCGATCAGACATGGGCTGCTTAAGGCAAGAAAATATTGAGATTTCTCCCAGCTCCAGAATGTGGTAGGAACTTGTGAGGGCAGCCCCTTACAGGAATTGCGGGTAACACCGGCGTCTGCATGACTCCCAGTTGGTGGGTTGTGGAACTGCAGGACTACAATCCCAGCATGTCCCAGGAGAGGGGGTGTCAACCTACAATCCAGCGACCCACCAACCAGGAGCGACACAAACTCCCATCATGGCCCAAAAGGGGCCATAAGCCTCCTCCCCCCCACCCTTCTGCCCAGACTCTGGGGCAAGGAGAAATCTAAAGGCTTTTTTGCCTATTGAGTCCTTATTGTTTTGTACTTCCTGTCAGTCAAGACCAGAAGGGCGGGGCTTGAAGGCTTTTCCAATCAATGGATGCTGAGGCCTGAACTGGTCAATCAGACAGGAACTGGAAGTGAGGGCGGGTTTTGGGCCTTTGTCTCTTGCGCCTGCGCAGAGTTGGGTCGTTTTTTTTCTGCAGTGTCCTGTACTCTGGCACCCACGTATGACTTCACTTCAACCTCTGTCGCCCTGTGATCTGCAGGACGTGGAAGCCCTTGGTGAGACTGCTGGGAGAAGGTGAGTATGCCGGGGGTGTCACGAGAGGGGAAGTGGATGGACTTGGATGACCCGGCTGTGCCGGGACCAGCCTCCCCTCAGCTGACAGTGAACACGTCCCCACTGGCATCTGTGCCTGGTGCCCTCGGTGTAGGTGAGGCTAGGCCGGGACCCTGGGGACTTGTCCCATCCGCGAACTCGAACTAAGCCCTCTGTCAACAGACCCTCTTTCCATATGTTCAGGACCCAAAAGAGTGGTGGGGAAGATCCGACTGGCTGGTAGGGCCAACGGAGGGAGGGTCTGGGGTACTGTTCCCCCTCCCTCCTTTCTCTACCCCAAGGTTACATAACGTTGAGGAAAAAGTTTATCTCTTTATAGCTCTGGAGATCAATACATTTCCACCAGAAAGTGTGATAGATTAATTGTTGAGTTTCACAGGTGCATGAAAGCATCCATTACATTTGTTTTTTGAGTGAATCTCACTCTGTCACCCAGGCATGAGTGCAGTGGCACACACACGGCCAACCCATAATCAACCTGCTGGGTTCTGGTGATCCTTCCGCCTCAGACTTCCAAGTAACTAGAACTACAGGCACACGCTACCACACCCAGTTAATTTTTTAAAAAAATTTATTGTAGAGAGGAGGTCTCACCAAGGTGACTGGATTGGTCCTGAACATGCGGGCTCAGATGATCCACTTGCCACGACCTCCTGAGCCTAGCTGATAACACTTTCAGTAAATTATTTTTTAATGCTGAGTTTACTAATAAGAATATAACTCTCCATGGACA